CTCCAGCTGCAGTTGCGGGCTTGTGAGAATCCGGCCTTCTCCCCGCCTCGGAGTCCCACGGCCGTGCGCGGTGGCAGGGCAGACAGGCCTCGCGCCCGGCGGAAGTCCCTCTGATCCAGCCGTGACTGGGCGGGGCTCCAGCTGGATGGGCGGGTCTGGTTTCACCCAGGGCCGGGAGATGGCTGTCTTCCAGGGTGAGCATCTTCTGCGACTCTTCCCTTTCCTCCCCGCCAATGCCGTATCATAAGCACAAGACAGACTCCACAGTGATCCTGTTGGTGCAAATCCCTCCTAGTCCAAACTAGGACAGCCGGGCACATCAGCCCGCGAGGCCCTGCACAGGCGCATGTCACTAGCCAGCTCGTCAGATGGCTGTTCGTTAAGACGAGGTAGTTCTGCATGCTGCAGGGAAAGGTACAACTCCGGACTCCTATTATCCAGGCCACAGGAGAAACGGGAACAGAGATGGAAAGAACTGCCTGCCATCCACGACAGAGCTGACTTGGCTCATGTGTGAATGACTTCTCCACTCGTCCCTGGCCATTCCCACTTCTGGGTCCAGGGGGCTTTGCTGAGTCTCCACGTCACAGGGAACCTGGAGGCAGCCCGATGCTGCGGATCCTGCTTGTCACCAGCAATGTGACCTTTGGACTCTCATCCTCTACCTGGGCCTCCGTTTCCCCATAAGTAAGGAAGCCATGAGTGGGTTCCCGTAGAGCTCTGCTCCCTGCGGTGCATCTCTGGCAGAGCTTTCTAGGACAAGCCCCGATCCCACGAGGGAACATTAGTGAAGCCCACAGTTGGCCATTCTGGCATCCCATAGCACTCAGCCCCTTAAAACACCAGTCTCAGAACTGTCCTGACACAGACAGCAAGCCAGGTTAGAAAAGCCAAAAACTTTAATTTTCAACATGAGCTACATGGTCATGAACACAATGCAATGTGACCCACTCCAACCCAGGGGCCCCAGAAACCCGCCCTCCCTAAAGGACCAGTGGCTCCTGCTCCGGGAGAGGGCACAAGGGAAAAGTGGGTGGACGGAAGGAGGACCCCGGGTCCAGGAGCCAGGGATCTGCCCTCCCACCACCCCACAGCAGGCAGTCAGGGCATGAAAGGGCTGAGTTGACACCTGTGCTCTAGTTCCAGCCTCCTCTGCCCTGGTGGCCACTATGAGTAAAATGGGCAGGGCCACCTGCTCTAGGGGCTTTCTGTGAGCTCGTGGATGTGAACGCTTTCCAGCCTTTGACTGCTACTGCCTCTGCAATCACGGGCCCTCCCAGAGGGCAGAGGGAGCTGATACAGCAGGGCAGGGAGGGGGCTCGGTCCTCCGGGTCTGGCACAGCACTGCTGCTCAATAAATAAATGCAGGTGACCTGGCCTGACACAACAGCTGTGTCTCTGGAGGGAGTGGCTCAGTGCTCTCTGAACACGAGGCATGCCCAGAGCTCCAGGGTTAGCAAGCTGGATGGTGCATCAGCGCTGTAAAGTGCAAAACCCCCTAACAGTCCCCCGGAGTGGGAGAGAGCTCTGAACTGCTGGAGAAGTGAGTGCTAGTGCTGGCTGAGCCACTCGCTTGACGTGGGACTTTCAAAAGCACCTTCCTCCTCCGGGACCTTGGCCTCACCTCTTGAAAATAAAGGCCTCCCTCCACCCACTGTCCCGAGCTCTTATGAGGCTCAAATGCCACACTCCCAGGGAAAGCACTGTGAAACAAGGTGGCCAGCACTGAGGGAAAGCGTGGCTCAGCGCATCTGAAGCTCAGTGAGGATGTCTCTAGGTGCAGGTGCTTGCTATGGCTCCCCCTCCTCATTCTCAGCCCAGGCAGGAGCGGACGCATCAGCACTCCTCCCCAGCTGGTCCAGGCAAGGTTACGTCCCTGGATGGGAGCCCCCACCCCTTCATTAAGACCTAAGATTAAATCCTGCGCTCCTAGCTGGGGACTTAGCTCAGTGGTTCCACCACCTGCCTCCGTCAGCTGGGCAGACACAGAGAGGCCTCAGTCTCCAAGTCCAAGCCCAGAAAAGACACTGGCCCACAAGAGCCAAGTAGGACTCTAGCCCAGGGTTTAGAGGCAGAACTGCTGATCATGGCTGAGCTGTCCTGGAACAATTTTCCTGCACAGGGAGGAAGCACAGTGGGGCCCCAATCTCGGCCTCCACTGCTCATTTGCTAGGGGTCTGCAGCTGGGCCTGTTTCTTAATCTCTCAGATGGGATACAGCTCGCTCTGGCCATATTTTGGGGGCCCTGGGAGGCTTTAAAGAGAAGAAAAAAGAGTGGGAGGTGGCAGCCCCCTTCAGTCTGCATCGGCTCCAGCTCAGCTCCCCCAGGGAGGAGGAGACCCAGGCTGGGGGAGCCATGAACACACAGGTGACCCCTGGGCGGCTCCTCCTGTATTGGGCCCCAGTCTTCTCATCTGTTAAATGGAAATGGACTCAAGGTCCCAAAAGCCTTTCCTTAGTATGGAAAGTCATTTTGGAGAAGGACAACAGAGGTGGTGCCCTCCCATGGCATCCCTGCCCAGAGACTGAAAAAAGAAACTCCTAAGACGCTAGCCCCAGAAAGGCCCCCAACTCCACTCTGTTCCTCACCAAATGGTGGAGTCTGAGTTGGCAAAAGAGCAGACAGCAGAGGGGACACCCAGGCTGAAGTTTCCCCAAAGCTAATGATGAAAATAAACACTCCCCCTCCCCCGCTGTCCTCCCTGGTGAGGACGGATGGTGGTTCCCACACCCAAGGGTCACAGCCCCTTCTAGGGGGCACTGCTCACAATGATATGGATACACAGGGCTCTAGCCCCCACCCCACCCCTCCAGGAGGTGAGCGAGATTTCACAGAACAAACAAGAAAGTCATGAGGGGGCCTTGCTGACCACCCCCAGGGTGTTATTGCTTTGGAGCGCGCTCTTCTCCCTCTCCCTGTCCCTTCCTCCTTTCTCTGTATCTCTCCTCTGTCTCTAACCCGAGCAGACAGTGGAGGGAGGGCTCTGGCTGGGAGGATGAGTCAGAGCTGAGCCCCTACCCCTCCGGCTGGAACAGCCAGGCTCTGCCCGACTTTGAAAAGTGACCCCTGAACAAGCAGAGCAGTGACAGACAGCTGGAGAGAGAAGGTACTCTCCTGCTGGCTCCAAACATCCCATAGAGCGAGTAATAAATGAACAGCAGAGAAATCACACCGCTAAAATCGCAGGGAAGCAGGGGAGAGGAGCCAACTGTGGGCCTTGGATAGGCCACGTGGAGCCCTGTGCCCTCCCACACTGTCCCAGTCTTAGGATCCCCCTCCATGGTCCCGAGAAGCTCTGCAGACCTGGAGGAGAGGGGCATCTCCATTTCTCCTTCCCGGTGCACTGTCTAGAGTTCCACGGAAGTGACAGAACTTAACCGTAATGGGCAGCCAAGGCTTAACCAGGCCAAGGAGCGGGAGGACTTCCAGGTGGAAGGAAACCCTAGTGGAACTGGGAACAAGGTGGGACCAAGTAGAGCCCAGGGGTCTTCAGTGTGAAGAAACCAGGCCCTTCCACCCAAGCCCAGCAAACCTCAGGAGACTCTCATACAGCAAATCAGAGCCGAGGATAATAAATCAGAATGTTGAGTATAATGGACAGATCCAGCTACATCCCTACAGGGGAGAGTTTGAAAGGGGAGGGGGAGGGGAGACGGGGGAGGAAGAGGAGGAGGAGGAGGAGGAGGAAGAGTACTGGCCTCCTGGGAACCAGATGGCTGATCCAGGCCCAGGCCAGCAAGGAGACATGGTCTCCTGGAATGTACTTGGGTCTCCTCCCCATCTCCAGCCTCGGGCTCTGTGAAGACTACTCTGAGCTAAGAACAGGGCCCAGGATGTGAATACTAACTCTACCCAGCTAACCTGGACGACACCCTACACAGCAGGGACTAGGTGAAGAGGACTGGCAGGCTGCTGGATGCCTCCCAGGGGGAGGTGGCAGAAATGTGCTTTTCTATAAAGAGGGGCCAGCCTACATCCTCCCTCACATGCACAGGGCTCCCACAGGCCCCAGGGAAAGCCACTGAGAAGGTGGCTACCCAGGCCAATTTTTACTTTTAATTCTTCACTCCTTCCACCACCTTCTTCCCTTGAGCCAAGGTGACTGAGGCTGGGCAGGGGGTTCTACCCTTAGTACAAGATGGTTTATTTAAAAACACTAAAATAGGGTGGCTCTACTGCTTCCTCTGACCTCTAACCTGCAGACAGAGCAGTAGACAAGATGACCTTTGGTCTCATCTAACAAGCAAGGGTTCCCTTATTGGGAAACCCTCACCTCAACATCACCAGTCGCAGTCCCAGCTTTCCTCAGTTTCCCCATCCCCTTTCCTCAGTATCCTCCAAATGCTGAGATGGTGAATTCCCTGGTCACCGGGTTCTGGAAACTCAGGGTCTTATAGCTCTTCCACCAAAACAAAGATGACAATGTTCCTTCTAATTCAACAACAGTTCCCAAACTATCTTGTTGCAGTCCTATGGAGCAAGGTACCTCCTCTTTTCCTTTGGTCCCTGCTGGCCCCCAATTCCTAGAGCCACCAGAAGAGGGGCAGGCAGGAGGGGATGGATAGATGAACTCGGACAGGCTGCGGCAAAGCTCCTTCCTTGGGCAGGCAGAGGGAGGCCCGAGCTCCTCTTCAAGTGGGGGTCTCTGAGCCCCTGGGAGCTGGCTCCGGATCCTTGCAAAGCTGCCCCTTCAGCTCTGGGGCAGGAGTAGCTGCCTGAACCCGGTGCCGCAGGAAAGACACTTGCTGGTAATTGGCACCATGGAGATGGCCGGCTGGGTTCTGGACTTGGCTCCGGGCAGCAAGCTTCCGAGGAGGCAAAATGGGGACAGGTGGGACAGTGTTTGGGCAGGTGGGTGGTTTGCTCTGCCACCTCAGTCCTTCTAGTGCAGCCAATCCACCAAGTTAACAATTGGCCAAGTCAAAAGTGCAGCCAACCCGTTGGGAGAGGGAAGGTCTCAAGGGGTAGGAGGCAAAGAAGAGGTGAGGAGGGGCCCAAGGGGGGCAGGTCTCCCCATTCTGCTTCCCCACTATGGGGGAGAACCCCGTACTCCTCTGTTTAATGTGCCCCTGGGCCTGGGGTCCCAGGTCAGGGCCGGGTGGTCTCCAGGCCATCTCGGGGAGCCCCTCCCCATCCCTGGCACTAAGATCGCTCGCCACAAGGCCCAACAGTGCTCTCAAGGGACAACTGCGATGCCTGCCGCAGCAGGGGACCTGTGGCTGGGTCCACCATGGAGGAGGTGGGGAAGAGCTTGTACCAGCCCACAGCCAGGGTGGTCAAGTCCAGCTCCTCCAGCAGCACTCTGGCCACACCCATGAACTGCTTCCGCTCCATTCGCCCATAGTTTCCCCACACGATCACCTGTAGGGGTAAAAAGAAAAAAAGTGTGGCTTAAGCCCGCCAATGCCACTTGCAGGCCCAGAACCAGAACCTGGGGTTCCCCAGGCCCGTTTGTCTGAGTGCTACCTCCTTAAAATTGCTCAAAGCTGACCATATTTTCTTGGCTCTAGAGTCTCCATTATCACTGGCCCTCCGAGCACCTCTATATCCGCCCTCCACATGCCACATCTCTGAACCCAGGCTTTCAAGCCGGACCCTACATCATGAAGGAGTCTTCTACCTGCCTCCCCTGTGGGCTTTCTGCTTCCAAATCTTCAGGTACCCTCTCCCCAAAGTTTTACAAAGTGGCAGCTACAGTTTGCATGCTACCTTTTTTTTTTTTCCAACCAGTGTCTTCCCCTTTTCTTGGTCAACACCCGCTTGGAACTGCCCAGTGGTGGTCTCTGGCTGCCTGACCCTCACCGGCTGTTCTGTACTTCAGCTTCTATCTCAGGCCCCCTCTACAAAGGTGGGCTGGTTCTAATGTTCAGAATTAGGGTCAGATACAGGAGTCTCAGGACTCTCTGCCTCTTACTGTCTTGTGTGTGTGTGCACGTGCGTGCGTGCGTGCTTCTGTTGTCTGAACCCAGAACCTTCACATTTAGCTATATCCCCAACCCTTTATTCTATTTTTAAGACAATGACTTGTAGAATTGCCCAAGATGGGCCTGAACTTGCAATCCTCCCGCCTCAGTTTCGCAGAGTCTTGGGGTTACAGGCATGTACCACCATTCCCAGTTGGCTGTGTGGTTCCTGACAAGTCCTTTAGCTCACTAAGCTTCAGTTCCTGTGTGTGTAACTGGAACAATCCTAGCTCAGCTTATTTTGCAGGTAAGGATCAAAGGACAGAGCGGCTGCAAAAGCTGACTGGCAGCTGTACGCTGCTCCTCAGGGTCATGTTCAAACAAGGGAGCTGTCCTTCTAGTCTGTTGGGTGTCTAAACTGGCTTGAGATTCAGTCTTTCCCTGCACAAAATGATTACTGTCTAAAATGAGGCTCAGCGAAGTTAAATCATTTACCTCAGATTGTTCAACTTTGGTTTTGGTGCTCCCCAGGTAGCTGATAAATGTTCTTTCCTATTCTGTTTCTTTTTTTTTTTTTTTTTTAAGACAGG